TCTGGTTCAGTCCTCTGTTTGGGAACACTTCCTACACAATTTGATGCTCAGACAGAGTGGAGGAATGGCTATATTTAGGGGTGCTTGAATTGTGGGGAGCAGTCTGGCAACACTCCCTCTTTTATTTACTGGGGGGACCCTGCCCTTGGATGCATAGATATTGGAAGGCAGGACTCTGCCTGAATCTCACCTCCCACAGTGCAAGCCAACAGGCTGAGGTCCCACCCAGGACTTTGATTCCGGAATAAAGATAAAGTTGAAGGGAAGGTCACGATCATTTCAGGGCGGTGGCACCCAGCCCTTGAACTCCCTGTGGTGCCTGCCCACTTCCTAATCCTGGTCTTCAGTCTCCAGCTGATGCTACGGGCACCCCAGATCTTTTCAATAAGACCCCTTTCCACGTGGGACAAGCAACCAGTTTCTATTGCTTGCAAGTAAGAACATGGAGTCTTCTCAGGTCAATCCAGAGAGACTTCAAGGGGCACCGAGATGGCAGGAGTGGCCAGAATGAAGGGACACAGCTGGCTAGGAAAGGCACTGGCTCCACCTTAGCACCACCCTCTTCTCCCTGCAGCTGGGAGGTGGGTGGTTAACTGGAGCATTTGCACTGTCAGCTCTGGGCAGCAGCTGAGATTTTTTTTTCCAGTTTGGTTGTTTTTGTTTGTGTTGGTAAGTCTTTTCCATTTATAAGCGCCTTCACACAAGCTTAAGGCTTTTTTTCTTTTTGCGTTTTTGGCTGCATCATGTAGTGTGCGGGTCTTACTTCCCTAACCAGGGAACCTGCACCCCCCCCACCCCAGCACTGAAAGCACGGAGTCTTAACCACTGGACCACCAGGGAAGACCCAAAGCTTTCTTTAAATATCTCCTATAGAGTCACAAGTGTCTAAACCACTCAAGACAAAAACAGCACTCCATTTTTCTCAAGAGTATCCCCAAGACATGGAGATACTGATTTTCCCCAATCACCCATTCTGATGTTCGCTGCTTTGCTGTCGGCCTGTTTTCCTTAGAGGGAATGCAGGTTTTCCATAAAAGCCTTTTGGAGGGTAATAAAATCATCACTCAACCCTCTGGCCAAGGGTGGGCAACCTGAGCTCTCACAAGGCCAGGCCCTTAATAGGGTGTGAGGTGTGAGTGTATTTGCACACAGCAGGAAACAGGGTGGGCCAGGAGAGCAGGCCTGGAGATCCACCCACCCATCTCTTATGACTGTTGCAACCAATGATCTTATGCATTTTCCAGAGAGGCTAAAAATCTAGAGCTATCTATACAGTTCTTGATTTTTTAAAATGTTGGCAGCTAACTTAATCTTTAAAACTTTAAACCAAAACAATACTGTTGCGGGCTGGACATAATCTAGGGGTTACAAGGTCGCAGTGCCTGCATTAAGCGCCCGGGGCCTAGTCTGCACCTTTTGCCACTGTCAACAGTACGGCCCTTAGACTGGTCAACTGGGCCCCAGGCTTTAGTTGGCCCTGCTCGGTCCTGCGGAGTTCGGGGGTCAAGGAAAGACCATGGCCCATCTAGACCATGCTCCTGGGACTCGGGAAAGTTTTGTTCACACGACACCCAGCCTGCTTCCAGGGCCTTTGTGGACATCTGTCCTTCCAAGGCAGCCTGTTGTGGGCATCTTCAGGCCTGAGGGATGGCCCATTGCAGGGTGGAGGCAGCGTATGCACTGTGGGTCCCCCTTTAGTACGGGATAGAGTAGGGTTTGAACGGAAAGGACAGGACCCCCAACTCCTGTGGTGTATTCCTACCCTTGTCCCTGGCAGGCGGTTGGTAGGGGTGGGCCTGCCTGTCACCACCCAGCATGGCTCAGGATATCCTAAGAACTACCACTGATTCACCACTGATCCGGGGCCCAACATGGTCTGCATCTGGGCATTTAACTCAGGATGCTTGTAAGTCCTGGTCCCTTTCGCAGAGGAAGAAACCAAGGTACCCAAGTCAGTGTACAAGCTACTGTGTGCTTGGCTGCTCAATCGTGTCCGATTCTTTGCGACCCCGTGGACTGTAGCCCGCCAGGCTCCTCTGTCCATGGGGATTCTCCAGGCAAGAATACTGCAGTGGGCTGCCAAGCCCTCCTCCAGGGGATCTTCCTGATGCAGGGATCGAACCCACGTCTCCCGCACTGCGGGCGGATTCTTCACCGTCTGAGCCACCAGGGAAGCCCAGTGGGCCGCAGAGCCAGGAGGTAAACCAGCCAGCGAGCAGCGGAGTAGACCCGCTCCGAGTCCAGCCACGCTGCGCGGCCGCGGGGCGCTCCCCGCCCCCAGGGGACGGCCAGTGTCTCGGCGCCCCCTCCCCGCCCCGCCCGGCCCCCGCGGGGGCGCGGGGCCCGCCCGTCGGGTCGCTGAGCGACGGCCCCGCAGCTGCCCGGGGCCTCCCGCGGCCCCAACCCCCGGCCGCCCCGGGGGCCTGGCGGTGACGGCGGCGCCTGGCAGCGGGGGATTTGGATGCTCGGCCCGCGGCTCCCCCGCCCGCGCCGCCGCGGGGGCTCAGCCGCCCGGACTTATCTCCGCGCCTTCCCGGCATGCCCCGCTCGCGGGCGGCCGCCAGTCCCGCGCCCGGACTCGGCCATCGCGGGGGGCCCGGCCGCGGGAGCGCCCCCGCCTGCGTCCCGGAGCCGCAGCCGCAGGTGGGTGAGCCCGGCGCGCCGCGGGGCTGGGGCTCTGGGGCTCCCGGCCCGCCGCCCCTTCGGAGCGGGGTGCACGGGGGTGGGGGTGGGGGGAAAGGGTGCGGCGGGGGAGGGGAGCCCGGCGCCCGCGAGCGGGCAAAGTTGGAGCCGTGCGCCCCGGAGCCATCGGGCCCCGCGTGGCGCGCGCCGGGGCGCGTGGGGTGCCCTCCCGACGTCCTGGGGGTGGAGTGGGTGTTCTGGGGTGGGGGAAGGAGATGGGGTCTTGGGTCTTGTTTTCTCCTTGTGGATTTAGAACGCGTTAGAGGGAAACAGAATAACTCATCCTGAAACACAGAGAAAATAACAAAGAAAAAGGGAAACCCACGAAGAAACACTCACGCAGACCGATCGCGGAGAGAGACCGCAACGTCTCGAGAGAAAAGCTCGGGCAGGCCGAGAAACACACCCGAAACTTCGCTCGGGAGGAGAGGAAACAAAGCGGGTGGTCTTGGAGCCCCGGGGCGGGGGGAGGGGACGGGAAACGCCGAGAAAGCCTGAGACGAGGGGAGGGGGAAAAGAGCCCGGGAGTGGAGAGGAAAGCTGAGCCAGGGAAAGTGAAGTGAGAAAGAGAGGGGAAGGAAAGGAAAAGGGCTGAAGGAGGGAGCCCTTTCGGAGGGACAGTACAGAGAAACACATCCACAGACGCCGAGCAGGACACCCCCGCGCCTCCTCCAAGCACAGTCAGAGATGAGTAAGGTAGAGCTCAGTCTCCTCACCCTGTGGGCAAGTGCACGCCAGGTGGGACAGCAGCTCTGAGAGTCCTCTGAGACGGGTTCCTTGGCACTTTGAGCCAGCCAAACCCACCGGGAAAACTTCTATTCATCCTTCAAAACCCAGCTGGAGCATCAGCAGCTCTGGGAGAAAAGCTTTCCCAGAAAGTATATTGCAAACACTGGTACTGTCTTTTCATGTACTTCTGAATGTGGCACAGGCACACGGAGTTGAAATGGTTTGCCTGTCTTCCTCTTTCCCTAGGCTCCCTCCCCCCAGGTTTTGGGGCCCATGTCTTATTTATCTCCAGTCTTCAGAATCCAGTCCTCTGCTTGGTGCATACTAGTGATTAATAAATACTTATTGAATGATGATCAAGAGCATTTGGCCCTCCAAGACATGGAACATAGGATTAAATTCAAATAGAGGAGATGTACTGTCCTGGAGTTAGGATTCTATATCAAAGCACCCTTTTTTGCAGGTGGGGAAATTAAAGCCCGGAAAGGGGAGAAGACTGGCTCAGAAGGACACAAGTGGGAGCCCTGCAATGAAATAACACTGTGAATACATACTTCTCTGAGATGCCATTGCTTCTCAAGCCTGTGAGGTTAAAATAGGTGTGAAATAACCTCCTAAATGAAAACAGGCAATAAATAAATGACAGACAGTTTAATACCAGTTGTAAGTTTCCAGTGGGGCTTCCCTGGTGGCTCAGTGATAAAGAATCCACCTGCCAATGCAGGAGACATGGGTTCCATCCCTGGGTCAGGAAGATCCCCTGGAGAAGGAAATGGCAACTCACTCCAGTATTCTTGCCTGGGAAGTCCTATGGACAGAGGAGCCTGGCGGGCTACAGTCCATGGGGCTGCAAAGAGTCGGGCACGACTCAGTGACTAAACAACAGCAACATTTCCAGCGCTGAAACTCAAGATCAAAACTTTCCCCAGAGTGTTTAAAATACTCTTTTCTCCTTAGAAAGGACAAGGCAGGTGATAACCCATCTCAGTTTGAGTGAATGACATTCTGCTTCCTGACTACATAGACTTGGGCAAATTACTTAACCTCTCGGGGCCTCAGTTTTCTCACCTGTAAAATGGGGATACTAACACCTTCCTCATAGGATCGTTAGAAGAATAAACACATACCAAGTGCCTGGCACAGATAGAACCTCAGTGAATACAATCCCACCCTTCTTAGGTGGGTGTTCTTTTAGGTGCCTGGTGCAGATACAAAAACAGCTGCTAGGGACAGTGTTTCCTTTTGTCCTGGGTTGAAAAGGCCATCCTGCTCCAACTGGGGAGCAAAGGCTTTTCTTCGGTCGGCCAAAAAGTTCGTTCAAGTTTTCCCATAATATCTTCCGTAAAAACTGGAATGAACTTTTTGGCCACCCCAGTAGTAAAGGAAAAGATAACATTTGGGGCATGACCTAAAATGCGTCTTGATTCTGCTCAGGCCCTCAGGTGTCTGCAGGCGGAGCCTTCCGCTCCCCCTTCCAGCAGGTAAGACCCCACTCTTGCTGCTGCTTCACCAGGCCGCCCCCCCCTTGTGTCTTTCCAGCTTCAGCCCCGGAGGGGCACTGACCAGGACTGACGGAGCCGCCTGGAAGCATGGAGACCGTGGTGATTGTTGCCATAGGCGTGCTGGCCACCATCTTTCTCGCCTCCTTTGCAGCCTTGGTGGTGGTTTGCAGGCAGCGCTACTGTCGGCCTCGAGACCTCCTGCAGTGCTATGATTCCAAGTGAGTGGCTCGGGCAGGGACAGGACGAGAGAGGGACTGTGCCTTGATGCCCCATGAAAGAGAAAAGAAGTTTGGTGTTGGGCAACTGTCACTCAACTTTTGTCTTGAAAATGGTACCCTAAGGCTGTCGTTCCCAGTAAAGATCTCAGAGCTTAAGAATGTTCTGTAAGCTCCCTAGCATCCTGAGCCACCTTGGACTGTGTGAACGTGCTCACCTAGCACACAGCTGTCCCAAACTGGCCACATAACATTTGAGCAGGCCAAACCACGGACAGAAGAGCCTGGTGGGCTACAGTCCCAGGGAGATCACAAAGAGTCAGACACGACTGAGCGACTAAGCACAGCATAGCACAACCCCTTTCTAACCAACCTCACGCGTCCATGCGTGCTGAGGCGCTTCAGTCGTGTCTGACTTTGCGCAGTCCTGTGGACCAGAGCCCGCCAGGCTCCTCTGTCCAGGGGATTCTTCAGGCAGGAATATTGGAGTATGTTGCCATCCCCTTCTCCATGGGATTTTCCTGACCCAGGGATAGAACCCGAGTCTGATATGTCTCCTACAGTGGCAGTCGGGTTCTTTACCACTAGCACCACCTGGGAAGCCCCCCAAACAACCTCTTAGGAGCAGAAATCCAATGCCCTGTACTCCAAGCCACACATTGAAGCAATAGACACTTGGGGATTGCAAAACCCCAGCATAGGATCATGTCTTGTCTCTGCGCAGATTTCTTCATGATCTTCTTCACGTGAAACCTACTTGGTAATCAAGATCTTATTCTCAGGTTAGGGATATTTTAATTGCTAGATCCCAAGGGATGCTGACCACTAAACCCTGAGTTTCTCTTACCCCTTTGTCTGAATCCTGTCAGCATCTCTGTTGAATGGTTTGTAATTAGTAAATGCCCATTTGTGTGAACTAGGAAAGCTCTGCAATGGTGTCTCATGTTCTCAAGAACCCTGTTTTAAAGTAGGAGGTGTCTTTACATCCCCCTCTTCTCTAGTATAACTTGGAGGGAGTGGGATCTTGCGGGTGGACCAAGGTGGCTCCCAGAACTTGATTTTACAGAACAAGTACTGGGTGCCGGTCAGTTCGGGTAATAGGAACTTGAGCTTCTCCGTAAAAGGTAGGCTTGAAGGGGAAACAAGTTACAAATGGACGTTGTTTTGTCATGAAAGAGCATCCCTGTTTAGGATATCTTTGGAATGATTATGGTTGTAGCCCTGCCTTTCTCTGAGCAGCTCTTCTTGTTCTGTGTTGTTTTTCTTGTGTTCCTGGGCCCTGCCTCCTTGACGCACTGTCTTACCATGTGCCTGGCCCACACTGAAGTCCCTCTAGCCTTTGGTTTGGATCCAGAACAAGTTCTTGCTTTCACTTACTCATTCCACTTATCCTTTCGGAGGGTATGTGAGCCTCGATGAGGAGAGAGTCGGCAGCGGTCACCCATCAGGAACCCACTTACCTGGGCTCTTCCTTCCAGGCCCATCGTGGACCTCATTGGCGCCATGGAGACTCAGTCTGAGCCCTCTGAGCTAGAACTGGATGACGTTGTCATCACCAACCCTCACATCGAGGCCATTCTGGAGAACGAAGACTGGATCGAAGATGCCTCGTAAGGCCTTGGGGACTGTTTGCTTTTCTGCAGCCGCCAGTGGGTGGCGAATCAGGCTTCTGGGTACCCTTTCCTGGCTTCCTCTGCCTGAGCTCGGCCGAGCACCCTGGAGCACTGTGTCCGTTGCTGCTCTTCCCCTGCCCTCACCGTTGGGGGACCTAGAGTGTGACACCATGGTGTTTGTCCTCACACTCCCCAATTTGCAGACTGGAACACTGAGGCCCGTAGATGTGTGGCAGAGTTTTTATTAAGTCACTGTAATGTGCTTGGGTTATCCTTGAGGCACCCGTGAATATGGCCCTCAGGCTCCAGGGATGCAGCCTTTGTCTCCAGGCTCCCTCGGGGATCCCTCCACCTGGCTGCAGGCTCAGAAGTGTGTGCCGCCCCTTTCCCTGTCCCTCAGCCCTTCATTCACTGGGTGGGTGTTAACCGGTGTGATGTGCAGGCTCTAGGCCAGGCAATGCAGCTTTGAAACTGGTGGTGGAGACAGAATTCTACTAAATACACTATTTCAGAAATGATGGCAGGAAGGGGTGGGTCTCTGTGTGGGTGCAGTGAGCATGCAGAGGAGGCGTTGCCTATAGAATTACCTGGGCTAGAGGAGTGGGGTGGACTTCTGAAGGCTTTCCCAGAGTGGGCACCTTTTGTCCTGGGTCTTTTTTTTTTTTGGCTGCACTGTGCAGCATGGGGAACTTCTCCCCTGTCCCTACTGGAGATAGAACCCCTACTGCCTGCAGTGGAAGCTTGGAGTCTTAATCACTGGACCGCCAGGGCAGTCCTTTCAAGACAGGGAAGATGAGTTCATCAGGCAGAGGATACGGGGAAGGATCCCCTGGGTGGAGGGAGCAGTCTCAGAGTGGTGGCACCAGCTGGAGGAGTCTGTTGAGTGCGGGCGGGGAAGGGGGAAGACGGGGGAAAGAAGGTGCCTCCTGCTTTAGCTCCTGGGCTTGTTCATTTTATCGCTGAGGCGTCTGGGCTCTCAGGTGGTGTCCAGCCGTGCCCAGGGGTCAGAGCTGGAGGAGGCGTGGCGGTGGTGGCTGGAGGGAGGTGGGCCTCTCTGGAGAAGCCGTGACAGATGCTTCTTGTCTCCGCAGGGGTCTCATGTCCCACTGCATCGCCATCTTGAAGGTAATACTCTTCGATTTCCCCAGGAGAATAATGGGGTGGTCACCAGGCATCAGGCTGTCCAGGAGGAGGGACTTTGGGGGAGCGCTGACCCGCGCCAGAGGCCTCCTGTAACTCTTGGGGCTCCTCCTGTTCACTTCCGCTCCTGGTCTGTTCTCCTTTGAATTCCGGAGGCCCTTTCAAAGACTTTACTCCTCCTGGTCCTCACAGTACAGTGGCCGGTGGAGAGACAGCAGAGACAGTCACCAACCACATATTCACTGACCAGGCAGGAAGCTGTGTGCAGAATAGCACAGAGCAAGACCGCAGCCATTTTGGGGGGAAGGGCAGTTCTCAGCTTCTCCCGGGCACTCTCTTCCAGGAACGGAGGGCTCAGTCCTCGAAGCAAGTTGAGCTCTGTATTAGGGCATCTCCAGTTACTAGAAAGTTCCTCACCGGCCCTCTCTGTGGCAGTGGTCAGCCACGCAGGACAGTCCATGTTAAAAAATCCAAACCACAATACTTCAACCTGAGAGCAGCCTTTTTTTTTTTTTTTAATGCCAACAGCCTCCAGGACAGGGTGGAGAGTTGCATCCAATTTGCATTTAGGGTAATTTTTACAGTTTTGTGTACTTTTTACAGTTTGGGGTAATTTTTATTGTTTTTGGGTAATTTTTACAGTTTTAGCATTTATTTGCCAGTTCTTGCCTGACACTCTCCGACTTACTAGGACAATAGTAATACGGACATGTTTGGCCAGTGGCAAATATTGTTTATTTCAGTAACCTGGGAAACCACACATTTCTCTCTTTGTCTAGCAATTATTCAAGATTTCAAAAAAAGACAGCTTTACTTTCGTGTCATTTAGTACAAAATATTAAAAAGTCTTTTATCGCACCTCTTCTTCCTGTTCTCTTAGGGGACAAAGAAGTGCCTGGTAAGATGTTGTCCCAGAATCCAGGCTTAATATTATTGAGTTCCAAGAAGCTCTTTTTTAAAAAAATGAATTTATTTTTAATTGAAAGATAATTGCCTTACAATATTGTGTTGCTTTCTGCTCTACAGCAACATGAATCAGCCATGGGTGTACCTACGTCCCCTCCCTCCCACCCCCACTCCCTCCCACCCATCTCGGTTGTCCCAGAGCCCCAGTTTGGGTTCCCTGAGTCATTCAGCAAATTTCCACTGACTCTCTGTTTTACACGTGGTAATGTGTATGTTTCCACACTACTCTCTTCATTCATCCACCCGCTCCTTCCTCCCCCTGCTGTGTCTGTAAGTCTGTTCTTTCTGTCTGCATCTCCCTTGCTGCCCTGCAAATAGGTTCATCAGTACCATCTTTCTAGACTCCATATCTATGCGTTAATATCCGATGTTCGTTTTTCCCTTTCTGACTTACTGCACTCCGTGGTTATAGATGGAGATGGACGGGTCTAATGACTAGAGCAGCGATGCCACATTATGTCTGCCTTCTCCCAACCAGGATGTGTCCTGTCTTTGGGTTTTGTCCCCTGCTCTTATCTGTTAGAGGAGGGGGATGAATGACAGCTGAGGTGTGGGATAAATCGGCCGGCAGGAGTCTTACTGGGCTCAGTGGTCCATCTTGAGACCCTCTCAGCTTCCTCTTGAGCTCTCATGGCCCTGCTGCTTGGCCACCTGCCCTGGAGTCCCTCTGGTGGGGCCTCAAGGGAAGGGCCTATCTCCTGGGTGGGCTCTCGGGCTTCTTTCTGCCTCTTTTCCAGCCCCACGTATATGTAATAAAGTTGATGGAAATTTTTCCCTAGGGATAGCAGCACATCCAGGTTCTGACACTTGGGGGGGGCAGGAAAGTGAGGAGCAAAGCTTTAGGGGTGGCCAGTGCTGCTGGTAGATGCTGAGAAAGGTTGTGTGTCCTAGTCTTGCCATTTTCCTGCTTTTTTTTCCCCCCACTTTTATCATCATCATGACAAACATGCTAAAATGTTATTCCAGAAAATTGTTGATATAAATTCTGCTTGTCTGGCCATGTTTCTGAGGGTGCCTGTAGAGAGATCTTTATCGTTTTGGAAGACAAAGCCAGGAGGTGAAGGAATCGAGAGAGAAACTAGGTTTTGGCCCTGAAGGGAGAGGATGTAGTTAGAGCACATGATTTTTCTTAGGACAGATTATTTCAGCTCAGACTTCTCTTAAGCCGAGAAACCCTGGCCCTGGTCTGAGATTCCCACCCCGCCCTCCTTACCCTTGGGTTTGCCCCTTCCATCCCCTCTCATCTCTGCGTGCTTTCCACTTCAGTCTGTCCGTGAAGTTAGGGGGGCCCGCCGTGGAATGGGGGGTGGTGTGTTTGTCTTTGTGGGATGGTGGAAACCCTGGGGGGCTGGGTCCCCCCATCACCTCTCTGCTCCCTGTTGCCGTAGATCTGTCACACTCTGACGGAGAAGCTCGTTGCCATGACAATGGGCTCAGGGGCCAAGATGAAGACCTCGGCCAGCCTCAGCGACATCATTGTGGTGGCCAAGCGCATCAGCCCCAGGTGAGGTCCCCGCACTCCGGGGGGGCGGGGTGGGGGCAGGGGCAGGCTCCCCTGAGCAGCTCCAGGGGCAACTTGAGTGGTTTATGCCCCACACATTCCCAGAGAGCCCAGGAGGGTTTAGAGGCCGGGAGACTTTTCAGGCTGAGGTGGTGTCACAGGCTCCCCTCCCCTCTGGCGTGACCCCTACTGTAGGCTTTTTAGGAAGTGCCAGCATATGACTAGGGCCCCCCAGCTCCCTCTTCCTCAGTCCCAGGCCAGCTGGGGCAGCTCTCCTTCCCCTGGGCACACCTTCTTCCCGGGCTCTGGGCCAGCAAGCGCACTTGCCACTGGTGCCCACACCCCGGTGAACAGTGACCTCCCTGCGTCCCATCCCAGCTGACATCTGTACCGAGACCAGTCCCGGCCCCATCCATGGCCCAGCCAGCAGCCCCCAAGCCCGGGTGGGAGGTGAAGGGATCATTCATATCTCCCAGATTCCAGGCTGTCTGCAGACTCCCTTGTAGGAGGCAGCCGGCCGGACTGCAGGCGACAACAGGCCTCGGTTTTGTGAAGAAAAGAAAGCTCTTTTTCTTAGAGGGAAGGGTGGTACTAAGTTGGGGCTGCCATCTGGTGGCTGGTATGTGGATGTGCCCGAGCTGGGAGTTGTTTCCCAGTTCAGGAGGTTTTCTTAATCAGCCTCCTGAGTTCCAGGGGTCCTCGCTTTCTATGTGGCTGTGGGCTCGGATGGATCTCAAGGAACCAGTCCTCGGAGGGAACGTGCAAGAGTTGGTGCACTTGAACTCTGTCCAGGGAGTTCAGTGAGTTGAGAAAGGGGGAGGGAGATAATCCAGAAGGGTCTGAGTTGTCTCTGAAGCTGTCCCGGATGGGTGTGGCTACAGAAGTGGGATCAGCCTAGGTCGGCCAGTGGCCTGAAGCAGACCCAGGCTCTGGGCAAGCACCAGCCCTTCCTCTAGTGTCTGCTGGATCTCCCTCATACTTCCTGGCACTTCTAAGAGCCGTCCCAGGTCCTGGCAAATTCCTGTGAAGCCAGGATAAAACAGCATCACCAGGAGGGCTTGGAGAAGGAAAGAGGGAGATTTCTGGGTCCCAGAGGAGTCCTGGGGGATCAGGACTAGCAGTGGTGCTGGAGCGAGGGTGTGACACTGGCCCGTCCTGCTGAGCACCTTGGACTGCTTCCAGAATGATCCCTGCCATAAATCAGTCAGGGTCCTTGCTCTCTCTTCCTGCCCTCTCACATCTTTTATCCCCATGGTTTTTCTTATTCTATCTCGTATCAAGTGTGTTGATAGCATAGTAGTTTCAAGAGGAGTGGCTTCAGCTACAGGGCAGGAAAGAGGGCTGGCTAAGTTGGGCTCTGAGTGACCGTGCCTCTGCGCCTCTTCACCAGCCCCTCAGCCCCAAGACAAGGACCGTCAAGCCTGTTCTCAAGTGCTTTTGGAAATCAAACAATGCATCCTTATTTTTTGCTTCTTGACTAAATGGTCCAGGAGCAAGAAGTTGAACGAAAACACTGAATCATGCAAATGAGGATGAATAGTAGTTCCTTCTTGAATTTGATTTTTAAAAAAATCAACTGTGAACTGTATCATGTGCTGCAAGAAATCCAGTGGAGCAGTTTGAACCCAAGTTAAACTTGGAGCATTTTTTTAGTGTTCTGAATATCTACCTATAACCATGTTTTTTTTTAAAAATACAGAAGTAATAAACACTTGTAAAAGTTAAAACATTGCAGAAATAGAGAATCTGAAAAGTGAAGGGACCCACCACCCCCCAGTCCCACCCCATCCCAATTCCTGAAAGTAATCAATCACTGTTGAACTGTAAAGTATTTCTACAAACTGGTCCCCTACTTCCTGCCAAATGTCATAGTTATTGTTTATTCATTTTTATGCAAATAGGATCCATCAGACTTTATATATTGTTTGGCAGTTTGCCTTTTTGATGTAGTAGTATATCTTGAACATCATTTCAGATGTGTGAATTTGTACTTTTTAATCCATTGGAACTGAAAACCAGAAGAAATATTCTCTAAACAGAAGCCAGAGTCTTTTTTTAAAATTAATTTTATCTATTTAATTTAAACCTTTAAACTTTATTTTCATTTATTTATTTTTAAAAGATTAATTTTTCATTTATTTATTTGGCTGCCCTGGGTCTTTACTGCGGCATGTGGGATCTAGTTCCCTGACCAGGGATCGAACCTGGGCCCCCTGCATTGGTAGTGCAGAGTCTTAGCCACTGGACCCCCCAGGGAAGTCTCTGAATTCTTTCTGTTTAAGTCCCTGTTTAAGTCCAAGAATGCAGTTACAGAAAGTCACTAAAGGTTGGGTCTGGAATGTCAAAAGAGAAGCTTTGGGGTAAGGAAAGAAAGGAGAAAAGACCGTAAGAAAAGGGAAATACTGAAAACCTTTTGCCTCCCCGCAGAGTGGACGACGTTGTGAAGTCCATGTACCCTCCGTTGGACCCCAAGCTCCTGGATGCCCGGTGAGAGGGGCGGGGTGGCCTTGTGTCTTTTCACACTGGAAGCTCCCCGTGTTATCAGGTCTGTGAGGCTGGCTGTTTGGGTGGTGGAGGAGAAGGCTGCTTTGTTGGGTTCCCAAGGCTGCCCCAGCTTTGGGTACCATTCACTTCAGTGTGAAGGGTCAGCCAACCAGTGAGCCAGGCCTGGCTGGATGCTCGTGGCCAGAGAGTTCTTCCTGCAACCCCAGCGGAGCAGGAGGAAGAACCAGTCTTAGATTTTGAATTTTCTGTGATGAAACGTCCATCCAAGCTAAGTCCTATCTGCACCTCCCTGCCCTCCCGTTGCCCCCATGGCTATCTCTGCTCTTTGGACCCCTGAAGCAGACGTGCCTCAGCTGTGAATACTGCCCAGTGGGTCGCTGGTGTGGGCAGTGGGCAGGAAACGAGACTGGACGTGACTGGTCAGCTAAAGCTGTGCTCACCTTCTCAGTACATGCCAGGAACCCTGTCTCGTGTTTGTCCCTTATCCACAGACGTACTTAGGCATTTGAGATTGTTATGTTCCTCTACTGAATGCAAACCCACTTAAAAAGAAACAAAACAAAATATGTTCCTTTGTCTCTTGGATTTACATGACTGTTTCACAGGCCCATTGTGTAATAATTGCCAGACAGGCTGTGGGTCTGTTGGTTTCTCTACCCTACTCCTATTACTGCCCAGCTGTGTTCATGGGCTCGTCATCTGTAATGCATTCCCAAGTGCATCATGCATACTCACTATTTAGAAGATACTCTGCAGTGACTTTTTCAATACTGAAAAAACAAGCCACCTCGTCTATTTGGTTCGCAGTTAAATTTTTTGTGAGGATGTGGTAAACCAGTGCAGGGTCTTATTGATTCAGAATCAATACATGATGCCCGAGGTGGGGTATGAAAATCCTTTCTTTAAGTGGGCAGCAGTTGGGGATGTGCTTATCCCATTGACTAGATCCAGACTGTCCCACAGAACCCTCTTCTGGGAGATGTTATTGGATGTGTTGCAGAAAGTGGGCTCCCAGTCTTAAATAAGTTAGTGAGACTGAAAGAGTATTACATTCTTTTCTTAGAACTTTATCACGTGCATCATCTGAGAAGGGCTTCAGTTACCCTTGTTTAACCCAGATAATTCCCAGATTTATTTGAGCATGGAACCCTTTTAAAATTACATACCTAGCAACCTCTTGGGGATGGGACTCCAGCTTGGGGAACCCGGTCTAGGCTCTGTCCCTTTGGGCTTTAGGGCAAAGTCCCTTAGATCCTAGGGAAGCTGATCCTGTTGTTTTTTCCCAGGACAACTGCCCTGCTGCTGTCTGTTAGTCATCTGGTACTGGTGACCAGGAACGCCTGCCACCTGACCGGGGGCCTGGATTGGATTGACCAGTCGCTGACAGCCGCCGAGGAGCACCTGGAAGTCCTTCGAGAAGCAGCCTTAGCTTCTGAGCCAGATAAAGGCCTCCCAGGCCCCGAAGGCTTCCTGCAGGAGCAGTCGGCCATTTAGTGCCTACTGGCCAGCAACTGGTCACAAGGGCCAGTGTGCTGCCATGACTGGGTGGCTCAGCTGAGCCTTCCACTTCTTCCTGTAGAGTTAGTTGTTCTCCACGGCTGCGGAATCCAGCTGTGTTTGTGTAGTAAAGCAGTTGGTGCCTCTGTTGTAGTTACAAATGGCAGCTGGTGAGTGGCAGTCTAATCCCACACTTAGGGGAGATGACAGTCACCATCTGTACAGCTGAGCTTTGAAAACGGGAGGACTGTAAGCTGTATTTAGCTCACCTAGTGCTTTCAAGAAAATCCAGCCACTGTCTTAAGAATCAGGAGGTTTCACATTAAAATCAGAATTTCTGGCTTCTTTCAAACAATCAGAAGGTGATGAAGCAGCTCTGATCTGCATTTTCCAAAGTGGACAATCAGTTGGAACTAAGTAGGAGTTGCCTCTCTTGACAACACTTGTGCTGTCTCACTTGGTCGTTTTCATTTATTTGTGTTGTGTGCCTGGTCCTTGAGGATCTGAGTCCCTTCTTCCCTTTATAGGTTTGGGTTTGAAGGTGAGCAATGTAGAGTTGATCGGTCCCTTATCATTATGCCTGCAATTTTACCTAGCTACCACTAGGTGGAGAGTAAATACATACTTGGCTTTCCCTCAAGCGTGTGGTTATTGAGTCAAATTCAAGTGTGTGGTGTGTGTGGGGACATATCTGAGAACTGAGGGTGGGAGGAGAGGGGCTGTGAATCTCGAGGATGCCTTGTGTGTATGACTCAAAATGAAATATTCAGAGACCTCCTCCCCAGAGTTCAGACAGGGGAAAATACCGCCAGGCAGTAGTTTCCACACTAGCAATGACATCTGTGAAAGATGGGTTCCATTCCTTTGATATCTGTTTGGCAGTTATTGAAAGATGAGGAGCATTTTTTACGATTTGAGACCTTTGGAGGACCCAGAATCACAATTGCCTAATTCAGTGTGTGCTAGTCGCTCAGTCATGTCCAACTCTTTGCAACTTCATGGACTGTAGCCCGCCAGGCTCCTGTAGCCACAGATTTCTCCAGGCAGAAATACTGAAGTGGGTAGCCGTTAACTTCTCCAGAGGATCTTCCTAATTTAGGGATCGAACCTGGGTCTCCTGCTTTGCAGCCAGATTCTGTGCCATCTGAGCCACCAGACATGCATCCAAATTCCGTCATTTCCATCACAAGCATGTAGGAGCACCTGGAATACTTTGCTTCCTCCCAGGATCTCAGAGTCAGCCTCACTCTTCGGAGAAGGCACTGGCTCGGGAGCTGTCTTGGTTCATATCCTGGGCTGTTAAGCATGTTTGAAACTCCATGTCTGTTCCCATTTCATTTTCTGTGCCCTAATTCAAGTCAGCAAATCCCTCAGCCTGATTTTAGAGAACCAAGAACCCATTTCCCAAGTCCAAGATTGGAACCTTGTTCATCACAGAGATGTGTCATCCATACAATTTCTCTTTAAAAAGCAAGATACTTCTCACCAGCACAGTGCATCCCAGTTCCCCACTTGAGAAGATGGATTCACAACAGGGAAGCTGGGGATCAACTCTCATAGAAGGATGGAAGGATTCCTCATGACAAGGGACACCTTATTGTCTGCTCTCATCAACACTGAGCACATGCTGGGTAACTTTCCTGTCTTGCTGGTGAGCTGTGAATGGGAAATACTCAAAATTTGACTTTTCTTTCTTATTTTTTTAAGATTTCTTTTTATATGGAGCGTTTTTAAAGTCTATTGAATTTGTTACAATACTACTTCTGTTGTTTATGTTCCATTTTCTTGGCCATGAGACATGTGGGATCTTAGCTTCCTGACCAGGGATGAAATTCACACCCTCTGCATTGGAAACCTGGAGTCTAAACCACTCCCTACTTTGACTTTTCTATCTGTGCCTCCATCGTAGGTATCCAGAGTCCTGTTTTTGTCCTTTTCCCTCCCTTTCAATACCTGCTTTCGTAACCAGACTGGGAACCACCCCGCTAAGTTTGCAGTGACTGCCGTAGCTGTCAGTGTCCTTGCGTTTCAACCCAGACTGGAGCCCTTAGCCAAAGAGAGCCCTTAACCTCTCAAATACCATCGACAGGTGTGGAGTTTGAAGTGGAGAAGTTTCCCAGCATCTCTTCCCATTCTCTGAGCTCTCCCAAGTCCTGGACCACCTGCTCCCTCCAGCCCTGAGATGCTGTTCCTTTAGTAGTGAGGAAAGGTTCCTGAAGACCTTAAAAGTGTCTGCTAAGCTGCAGGATCTCCGATTCTGCTGCTGTGTAGTTTTCCTTTTGTCTCCAGCGAAGGACAAGTACGCCTCTGGATCTGGTTGCTGTTGGCAGCGGGTGGATGAGGTGGAAGCATTGTCTTTGGGGTGGGTCTCTTCTAGCCCTTTGGGAGTTGGTGGAACTTGCCTCTTTACTTGGGAGGGGCTGGTTGGGGAGCTGGGGATCCAGCCAGGTGTGTTTCCCAGAGGAAACCACAACCCAAATCCCTAGTTTACTAGCGTCTGTGTGTATCGTCATAGATCTATGACCCTTATCCCCACCTCCTACCCTGGAGCAAGAACATCAGACTTAGATTTTGAATGAAGAAGAAACTAGGGATCAGAATTGAGTATGAGATGAGCAAGTGCTTTGAAGTCAGACAGAATTAGATTCAAATTTGGGTTCAGTCATTGTGTGGGCTTGGGCAAGTTTCTTAATCTCTCTGGTCCTAAGCTCTCTCATCTGTAAACACCAAGGCTCCTGTCTCATTGAGCCTCTCAGGTGTCTTAGTGGTGAAGAATCCACCTGATATCCCAAGAGACTTAGGCGATGTGGGTTCAATCCCTGGGTCAGGAAGATCCCCTGGGGAAGGAAACGGCAACCCACTCCAGTATCCTTGCCTGGAAGATTCCTCTGGGTTGGCGTGCCAATTGAATGAAATAGTGTATTCGAAATGCCCAACTGTGTGCCTGGTACTCATTAGGCAGTGTTAACCCTTCTCTCCCCAGAGCACCCTGGGGCAGCTGATCAAGATGGTGCCCCCCCAGTTACCACAGCTCTGTCTAAGCAGGAGCTCGGGAGCCGAGTAGCCAAAAACCGAGAATCCAGTGCAGTAGGGAGAGTGGCCCAGCCTCGTGCCTGCCCCACCCCAGCTACATTCACAACAGGAAGGCAGTCCACGCTACTGGCCTCTTATCAGCGTTCCCAGGGTTGACTGCCCAAACTCACATTCCTTCAGAGCGCGGCCTGGAGCCTCCTCCAGCTTGTGAAATCTCCCAGACGGAACACGTGTTCTTGGCATCAGACTTGCCCTGGTGCTTACCCTGACCGCCTCATTCCAGGAGTTCCTTCTCTTCAGAGACCCTTTCCCCTCTGCGTGGCCACATGAGCCTGACCTTTACAAAACGACTTACCGTTCAAAGCCCCTGAGTTGCGTTGTGACCTTGGACACTTTGGAAAGGTGTCAAGTGAAGAATTTCCATCTATTTCCTCCTTCACGCCCTCTGTCCTCCTCTCCCTCCCTTCTCGTTTCCCCCCCTCCCTCCCACCCACAAGTGCTGTTTACTCACTCTGGAGGAAGTGTAGTGCTAGGTGCTGCGAATATGGAACCAAAGTCACAATCCCTGGTCTTAAAAAGCAGAGACAGGGCCTTCCCTGGCAGTCCAGTGGTTAAAGACTTCACCTTCCCATGCAAGGGCCGAGGGTTCTATCCCTAGTCAGGAAGCTAAGATCCCACATGCCTTGCAGCCAAAATACCAGAACATAAACAACAGAAGCTGTATTGTAACAAATTTAATACAAGTTTTAAAAACGGTCACATCAAAAAAAAGTCTTAAAAAAAAAAAGAAGCAGGGACAAGTGAGCAGTTGATTGGAAGACGGCAGTGACCAGTGCAGTGAGGCAGGGGTGTATGGCCGGGAGTGGCCGAGGGGACACAGGGCAGGGAAGGGGGGCAGAGTCAGGATTGGGAAGAAACCTGGGAAGAGCTGATGCCCGAGTGGAGGCTCGATAGAGGGTCAGCAGGATGATCCAGGCAGACTCGACCATGTGAGAAAGGTCCAGGGCCAAGAAAGCAGGACTCATTTGAGAAATGCAAGTGACTGGGGAGGGCTGGAGGGTGGGCTGTAAGAGTGGGGTTGGACACGTTGGCAGATCATGGAGGACCTTATAGGTTATATTAGGGAGTTGACGCTTCATCCTGAGCATAATGGGGACCCTAGAAGGGCTTTCCCTGGGGGTGACTTGGTCAGAGAGTCGTTTATTTCATACCCTACGATATTGGACTCCAAGACCCAGAAATGTCCTGATGTCACTGAATACATGTTTCCCCGCCCCCGAGTCTGAGAGGCTCATGACTCAATCACAGTATAAAGGCAGGGTGGGCAAATGCTTAGGGATAGAGGGAGAGGGACTGGGGTTGGAACAGGAAGTGCTGGGGTAATGACATAGTCCTGCTGGGCCTGATCCTGGTAGGTAGTTACAGTGTCTTTGTATTAGAAATGATAACGGGCAGTTTTGAGAATTTGCGACATCCCTTGGTTCCTACTGTTTCATTCTACATGTGTTTTATCATTCCCATTTTACAGATCAGCACATCAAAACCTAGAGAGGGAAAGATGAGAGCTGGGGGAGTTCCCTGGAGATCTAGTGGTTTTGGTTGGAACTTAGCACTTCCACTGCGGTGGCCTGGGTTTAATCCCTGGTCAGGTAACTGAGATCCTGCAAGCCTTGTGGCATGGCCACCCCTCCCTCCCAAAAAAGAATGAGAGCAGGAACATCAACTCCCCACTTTGTGTTCTTTTCTTAAAAAAAAAAAAACAACCATTTTATTCATTTATTTATGTATTATTTATTTGGCTGCACTGGGTCTTAGTTGCGGCATATAGGGTCTAGTTCCCCGACCAGAGAGCGAACCTGGGTCCCCGGCGTTGGGAGCTCGGGGTCTTAGCCACTGGACCCCCAGGGAAGTCGCCCACCTGTGTTTTCTACCTACTGCCTACCTGCGTTCAGTGGGTGGGGAAA